TGTGTTAATTTTGATGAAAAATGTAAGTTTAATAAATCTTATTTTTTTTTAAAACAAAAAACAAAAAACACAGACTTGCATACTTATTTGCCCTGATATTTTGTTAAAACTGAGTGGTTTTAGGAAAGCTTTTACCTAATGTTTATTTTGATGTCAATCTCAGAAAATTTAGAAGTATTATTAAATTTTTGATGATTTAATGTTCTATTTTTTTCACCCCTGTTAATCAGGTTGCAGGGTAACCGATGAAATTTTACATCTAGTACCAAACATTGACAACTTCAGGTTAACTCTGAGAGCTATCAAACTATGGGCCAAACGTGAGTTCAGAATTTGTTGGCTAGCTTATTAAAAATATTCAAACTTTTGTTCAACACTAACTTATCTTTTTGCTTTTCCCTTATCAACAGGCCACAACATCTATTCCAATATATTAGGTTTCCTCGGTGGTGTTTCCTGGGCTATGCTAGTAGCAAGAACTTGCCAGCTTTATCCAAATGCAATAGCATCAACTCTTGTACATAAATTTTTCTTGGTATTTTCTAAATGGTATGTGTTTAGATTATATTAAAATAAAATTGATTGTAGACACTGAAGTTTAGTCTTATTTCTATGACATTTCTGCAGCTGGTTTCAGATTCAAATTTTAGTTCATGATGTAGCCATTCAGGTAGCCTTGGCGGGGAGGTCACATTGTATATAAAAGGACAAACCTAAACTCCATTTCTATTCCCTAGTTTTGCAAGGATAGTAATAAGGCAGATTCTATTTGTAGTTCCTTGCAGAAACCTACCCTCTAAATAAATTCTGAAATTTAGCTGGAACATCTGATAAAATCCAATTTATTGATAGGAAAGTCCCTTACTTTTGCATAAAACTTACACATATCACCTTTCACTCTTTGAATTCTTCTAAATCTATAGGCCATTAGTTTATTGTGATTGTATTTTGCTTTTGCTTTCAGCTGTCCATTTATCTTTAGTAAAATATCGAAGATGTAAATTTTCATAAAAAGCTTTTAAAGACTGAGTTAACATTAAGTGCTTGCGATTGATGATCCCTTTGAGATTAGTCATTAATCCAGGAGAGATTTTTGGTTTTTTTTTTTTGAGACAGAGTCTCACTCTTTTGCCCAGGCTAGAGTGAGTGCCGTGGCATCAGCCTAGCTCACAGCAACCTCAAACTCCTGGGC